AAAGGGCAACGTAACAACCCTACCCCGAAAAAACAATCCAATCGCTAAAGAAACTTCAAAGCACATAGAAATTATGAAGGATGAAAACAAACTTATTTCTGGCTGGAGTCGGAGAGACAAAATGACCCCGGTTGGTGAAAGTCTTCGGGAAGCCAGTCGACCGATGTGTCTCCTCCCTCTCGATAAAAGTGAAAGTAAGGATGGGGATATGGAATGTCCGCACCATGTTCAAACCTAGCAAGGCTGCCCAGATTGCGGAAGAGATGAAGAGATATGGCATGGAAGTGCCTGGAATCTGCGAAAGCGTGTGGAATGGAAGTGGACTCACCAAACTGTCAACTGGATACGAGTCAATTATCTACTCCGATATTGTCAACCTGACGACAATCATGACCACACTGAGTTTTCGAGTGGCTATCACGATGTCCGCTCCCAACAGCATCGAAGTCTCTCTTTCATGCAGTGGGAGCCAACCTCCTCCTGCAGGATCACGACACCAAGATGGATTCAACTGAAAAGGAAGGAAAGTCACAGTCATACAATGCTACGCTACTCTACGCACCTGCAAATGATGCAGACGAAGAGAAGAAGAAGGAATTCAGCAGACAACTTCAACCAGTACTGGGTAAAACTCCACCCCAGATGGTGACATCAAAATTCTATTAGGTCAGGCGATATGAATGCCAAACTCAGAGACGGCAACACACGAAGAGAACTCATCATGAGTTGAGAACCAATCATGGGTCGTCGGTCACTCGGTGATCTAGACAAGATTGGGGAACTGTCTGAAGATTTCTGCGCATTCAACGATTTGGTGATTGGAGGCAGTGTGTACAAAGACAAGGATATTCACAAAGCGATATGGATTTCACCAGTCACGAGACAATTTAAGAACCAGACCTGAATGTGAAGACAGTGGAGACGCAGCCTACTGGACACAAGATCCAGAAGGGGAGCTGATGTAGGTTCATACCACTCACTATCTAGTGCAAGGAAACTTCCAAATCAAGTTGAAAGCCTTCAAAAAGTTGATATCAGACAGCAGTTCAAGTTCAACACTCAGAACAGAAGCTGAAGGACGAAGCTACAAAGGACATCTTCACATCGTGCAGCCATCAGGAAAAAGTTGGAGACAGTGTGCAACATACCTGAAGGATAGGGCGTGGGAGAACACTTTCATTCTGTGGAAGATGTGGAAAGAAACCCGCATAACCGCGTCTGGATGGAAGGAGAGGCAAGACAAGGAATGGATCTCCACGGACACATGGAAGCTGACAGAGGAAGAAGAGGAAGATGGTGAAGCAGAAGATAAACCAGTGCAGTGTAGTGCAGCGCAGGAATGAATCATGGAAAGAAGAAGTGAGAACAACGTATAAAACACTACATTGAACAAAGAAGTAAAGAAGAGTATGTGCAAAGACAAAAGACACTTCTATGACACACTTTCATGTGAAGCAGAAAAGGCTGCTGGTAGGAGAGACCGAGATCTGAGAACATCATATCAAATAACCAGGTTACTATCTGGGAGGGAGGAGATCAACGCAGAAAGACCCAATGAAAGATTGTGCAGGGGATCCAGAGTAGAAACAAAGGAAACAATGGCCTGAACACTTCAGAAAACTCTTCAGTCGACCACAAACACCACCTTCTGCAACTCCTCCAGAAACACCACCTGTAGCCTAGTCACAGAACTACCAAAGAATACAAGCAATTCGAAAGCAGCGGAAGTGAAGTCCTGAATGCTATAAGGTTACTGAAATCTGGGAAAGTACTAGATCCAGATGGAACTCCACCAGAAGCACTGAAAACGGACTCAGAGTCAACAGCGGACATGCTCACACCACTATTGAGGAGGGTTTGGAAGGAAGGAGAGGTACCTGTACATTGACTGGAAGAACAACCACCTTGTCAGACTCCCAAAGAATTGCGACTTCAGTCTTTGCGACAACTGATGCGGAATCATGCTCCCGTCTCTGTCCACCCTAAGCGAATTATTTAGCCGCACCATCTTGGAGAGTCTACAAAATCCTCTGCATTCAAAATAACGACCGGAACAGGCTGGCTGGCTGGTTTCAGAAGTAATAAATTACGTGGGGATCAAATTGCAATGCTTCGCTACGCATCATCATAGAACAGAGTATAGATTGGCAATCAACAGGATCTTTACCTCAACTTCATCGACTTTGAAAAGGCCTTCGACAGCACCAACCGAGAAGTGATTTGGCAGGCAGTTGCTTCAACAATACGGTTTTAATGCCACAAACCTTCATCAACCTCATTCAATACCAGCTATATGCTATGTGATGATGATGCTACATGCTAAATGATTCACAATGGAAAGCTCAATGATGCCTTCGAAGTGAAGATAGGAAGGAGTAAGACAGGGCTGCCGCCTACTATCCATCACTGATGATCTTCCTGATTGTGGTCGACTGCAGTGGATCATGCAAGAAACTGTGGGGAGCAAGAAGACAGGTTTATGCTGGGTGGACCGATTATAATATCCTCGAAGATCTGAATGTCGCCCATGGTGATGATTTATGCTTAATGTCTTGTCGCACAAACTCGAAGATATACAGGTAAAAACCAGCAAGTTGACAGAAGAGGCTAGGCGAGGCAGCGAAGATGGGACTTCCTTCAGGTGAACGTAGAGAAGACAGAGGTGATGAAGATACCCAACTAACAACAACAACAACAACAACAAGCACCAATCAGCATCAACGGGAGAAGTCCAAAGTAAGTTACCTCTCTCACCTGCCTATCTAGGCAGCATCGCACCAACTACAGGCGGTGGTGACACAGATGTTGAGACGTCAAAGCCAGGATCGGAAGGACTGCAAGACAGGCCCTCAATTATCTGAAACCAGTGTGAAGATCTACTGCATTCAGCATGGAGTGTGAACAACATCCGGATTTTCAACACTAATCTCAGTCAAGTCAGTGCTTCTGTGTGATGGTTGAGAGACTTGGCGCGTTGAGAAAACCATTCCCAACAAACTACATACATACATACATCACATGAAGAGCTGCCGCCTACTCTAGCTCACTCGATACTGAAGATTGGATCAGATGACGAGAATAATAAGAATAAGCAACAAGGAATTATGGCTGGCTGGCTGGCTGGTCTGGCAACGAACCAGACAAGAAGCTATCGCCCAACAAATATGCAGAGGAGGAGAGTGGAGATGGATTGAATTGAATTGGATTGGATATACACTGAGAAGACGGTTAGGGAACATTAGACGTCAGGCTAGGCTAGACCAGGCCAGGCCGTCGACTGTAACCGAAGTGGAAAACGACGATTTTGGCGTCGGAGGGTGCCAGTGAGGAGATGGTGTTAGGAGGAAATGAAAGCTTGTGGACAGATGCGTAGCCATGTTGAAAAGACTGCAGAAGAGAGAGTGAATTGGCGACGTGCAAAAATAAATATTCTAACAACAGAAAGGGTTCGGCTGAGGACCATTTGAAAGAGACTATTAACCAACTTCAGGTGAGAAATCACTCAGTTGGAAGCAGTGTAGCTGTGTATAAGCTTGTATATAAAGATAGTTGACTGATTGGTTGAACGACACACGTTACATTTTGTCACCAATAGTATTATCATGACATCTAGTTTGCTGTAAAAAGCTGGATATAGAGCAACTGTGAAACATGACCTCTGCCAGCTAAAGATGTCCGACTAATCTATCTGTTCGACCACCATTTTTCTCCATATGACTGCTTGCATTCGGTTTAACTACGTGTTAACACTCTTGAGAAGGGGCTCCATTGTGAATAAATTTGGTGTTTCAAATAAATACACATTGTTATAATAAGGAGAATATGGATGGAAGTATAAGCAGCCTAAGCACTGTTGTTTGATAAGTGATAAAAGAAATATGGTGCTTTAAACATGAAGAGTAACAATAGGAATCTGTCTGAAATCATGCATATATCCGGCAACAATCATGTATTTTAGTAAAGATCCCAACTTGGTAGATTTGTCTGTGGTGCATTCTCAAGCTATAAATGATTATTTTGGCGCTCGATATTTCGACATATTACTGTTTTGCTGAAGAGAAACCAACATATCCCCATATTTATCCTGGACACTATGTGAATTCTTTTAGCATATTGGTCAAGAGATAATTAAGGACCAGATATTATTTTGCGCCACTTCTCGAAGTTAATTTATTAACGGTAATAAACAAAAAACTTTGTGGTGAAAACTGTTATTTAATTAATCATGTAACTTGCTTTTCTCCTTGTAATTAGAATTTTATTTCTCTTTTTTCTATAGACAATTTTATCTTATTTTCTGAAGACTGAACTACACAGAAAATTGTAAATATTTTTGTAATTAGAAAAGGTTACCTCCAGGTATCATAAAGCTGCTTGTACTCGGTTTCATTTGCATAAATTCTTGTGGGTAATGGAAAGCAGGAAGAAAGAAATATTTTACGTTAACTGCGTATTCAGTGATTATTTCTACAATTAGAAAGTCGGACAGCTACTTGTCTCTACTGTCTCAAATCATCTGTAAATTCGTTCATTCATGAAACGATATATATATATACATATATATATATATATTTATATCGAATGCCAGTATATTTCAAAACTTTCACAGACAGTATTTCGATGTGTTCCTTCTATGGGCGAATGGCATCTCATTTTTAATGACATACCATTATCTGCCTTATTTTTTACCGGAAATTCCTATGGAATGCTTATTTAGTTAACAGAGCACATAACTTGCAAATTTGAAAAAAACTCACTCGAGATGTCCCAATATACATGGGTTATTCTAGGATAAACAGGGTGTGTTTTGCATGACAAATTCTAAAAAGTACACCTATATATGGTATCTGTTTGTTCCAGTAGTCGTTCAAAAAGTTCTAACAACGTTCAAAGTAAAGAATTAATACCATCAATTGTAAGTGCATAGAAACATTCTAACACTTTTGAAAATTGTAAAAATGTTTTTTTTTGTATTTTTTGTACCTGATCTGTATTTTTAATGGACTTTGAAATTTGACCGATCAGCGAGAAGATATAACACTTCGTTTCATAATAATTTAATGCTTATCGACTGGAATCAAGAAATAGAAAGCCTTGAACATGAATTTTGTGCTTGTTGGCTATCTTGGACCCGATTAATTTGCAAGCATAAGGATACTACTGCCCCTTCGATATTTGAACCTCAGTTACTGACTCCCAAATTTGGGTTGAATGATCGAGTGAATACCAGTTTATTTACGATTATAAATATATCTTGCTGATGAATGCTACCAGTATGAAAGCGGGGTACATGGATTCCTGTAAGTTATCTGCGAAGCTTTTTCCATCGGATATCAATTAAAACACTAGTCACACGTAAAATGCCAAGAAATTGCTTCTAACTGATAAACTAATGTGGAGAAAACGACTGTTATATCAATATATTCGGGAGTAATCAAGTTAAAAATCATTAAATAATTATCGTTGACAGAGATAAAGAAGTATGTTTACTGATTGTTTCATCTGACATAAATATATATTTGTTTTTGATGCCACTATTGATATGTATCAGGTGACTTATACGAAACACTGATGTCTTGATGTATACAATTTTGAATTTAGTGCATATGTGGAAGATTTGGAGCACACGAAATGAATTCAACTCATCCCATAATCTTTGCAGTTCTTGTTTTGCAAAGATTTACAAAGGGAACTATTTTTATGAAGTTTTTAAAATCCCTCCTTCCTGGATAATTTAGTAAAGATAAGATGTAAAATGATAGGTGAACTCATTCGTATAAAATTTCTCAGAAACTGTCTGCCTGACTAAAAGTTTCCTAGTAAGTATTACAAACAATTATGTCAGTAGAAACTAACTCTTACTTGTAGGAAGTTTCGTCACCTTACTCGACCATATGTAGAGATTACTAATGATATATTACTTCAATTACGCAACACATTCAGTCATAACAAAGCAACCGTGGATTTGTTAAATTTATTTTGTCGCATAAAATTCTTCAACTTTTGTCGTAGTACCGAGTATCGTACTTGTTTACAAACAGAGACTGAATTATGCAAATCATTATTTAGAGAACCGATTGGACATTGTTTCCCAAAAATCCCAGAAAACTATCTCAACAATCTTTCTGAGTTTCTATTGTTGAAATTTGAATTAGAAGCATTGTCTTTACGCCTCAAGTATAGTATTCCTCACAGTAAATTGAATTAAATCTACCTTGAAGGTCAATTTGAAAATTTGTAAAACCAACCTCCGAATTTGAAGCCCACATCACATGATATAGAAAGCTGGCTGAAAGTTGGATTCGTTGATTCAGTTAATTTATATGCTATCAGTCTAAAATTTCATAAGAATTCTCTACCCAAGAACATCACAATGCCATCAGTAGACCGACAATGAAGAAACGAACCATCTCATTGAGACCGGATTAAGGCTTTATTGTGACTGCGTCATACAAATATGACTATCCTTCAAAAATGCACAGCCTACTGAGTGAGAAGAGACCCTTTTGTCGTGAACGGAGTAATAAAGACATGACATTGCAGATTGAAAAGAAGATAAATCAAGTCTTCAACAGCTACTGAAGCATAGTTTAATTGATGAAAAGCTCAATGAGACGTTGATACTTCAAGGTGAACTGACAACAAGAATGTACGATCTCAAAATACTCAAAATGTGAGTACTTTAACATGCTATATTTGCTGTGTCGACCGCGCCATATCATGAACTGGCTGGATGGCTTGCTTATCAGGAAAGATCTAACTGCTCACACTTTGAAGGATAGTTTTGATTTTGTTAGTAGTATTGATTTCAATATAAGCAAAGATCACATAGTTTGCTGTGAAGATGAATCATTATTCACAAATAAATAATAAACAATTGATACCAAAGGTAGTTATGCCGGGATGATAGACTTCCCATCTATTGAGACGAAAAATGTATTGACGTTATACAGAAAAAAGGTGCAATTCCAGTTTACTGGTTCGTATTACAAACAGATAGAGGGTGTAGTTATGGACAGTCTCTATGGTTTCATATTTTCAGACATATTTCTAGATCACTTACATAATAATAAACTAAGCGATGCCACTGAACAAACAAAACTGCATGTGAGATGAGTGGATGATAATTTCATGATATATGAGAGTTAAGCCCACCCAAGAAACCTACTCAGATCTTTCAATTAAGTTCATGTGGATGTGAAATTCACATGTGAATATGAAATGTTAGATGTAATAAATTTCTTGGATTTTAGTATTAAAAGAAATAAGAATGATTTTATACAACACAGGATTTATCATAAGCCTATTTAAAGTGGTCAATATCTGCCATTTAATAGTCTCTATATCACCATTTAAAAAATAAATCTAGTCAAGATTTATTTTTATGGGTTGAATTGAAGCACCATTTCTAGTTGATAGAGTTCTGAGAACTTGCATAAAGAACTAATGGTTTCGTTATAAGTTAACACCAATTGTTGTGCATGACTACCATTCTAATCAGTACTTCCATTACCTGTTTCTAAGTACTGATACTGAAGGAAGGTAATAAAGACATGTAGGCAGTTAAAAAGACTTAGGAGAGCAGTATTTTCATTATTATCTAGTTGAGAATTTTTGATGATTGAGTATTTTAGTTACTGTAGTGTGTTACTATTCATTCTTACCTGGTTCTTATTATTGTATCCACAAAATACAAAGAATTCCACTGTTACGACTTCTTGACTTCTATCCGTTTGGTGGGATGGTTCAGCTCCAGATTCATCACTAACTGACTTCAGTTGGAGAACCACTGAAAACCTACATGTAATGGACATCTGTTTTGTCCTAGTGTCACACCCCTCAGCAGCATGCTGCCACAATCTGTCTAAGGATCGAACTTAGGACCATCAGGTATCACGGCAAACGTGTTAACCATTCATCCACTGGGTCGGAGTTCAATGATTCACAATATACAACTTCTGTCAATTCCATTACTATTAACTATATTACAACCATCATTAACAAGACACATTGATAGAGTCATATAACTTACCTGTGTAAATTCATAGGACTGCAAACCAGGAGAATGATATCATGAAAAATAAGTTGTTAATAGAAATTTGTCTTATTTTCGTGACTCATTGCGATTATATAGGCTTTATATCCGGTGAATTAAATAAAAAATTCGAGCAGTGATACTGCATAATGATTATGCGTGATTAACATCTGCTGTAAATTGTTTCAGTTTATTTCGGTATATAATACAAAATAATGTTTGGTAGTAGAAAACATCAAATGTGCATCTACTGCAAACAGTAAGCGAACGCAAAAAATCCTACTCAAAGGTTTACGTAATTAATCTGTAGAGAATCCCTAATGCATATGTTGGTGAAAAACATTTTTATATATTATTATTATTTGTCACTTGGGTTCCTAGTGGAACATAGAGCTTCAGTAGCACATCTCCATTCCACTCAGTTCTCTGCAATCTTTTCGACCTGGCTCCAACACGATCCATAAGCTTTCATTTCTTCTTCACACGACATCCTCTATTTCACTCTCAACTCGGACGCCCAACTCGTCGTTTCCCATCTGGGTCCCACTCAAGTGGCTGGTGCGTGATGTCACCGAATGATCTTCTCAGTGTTTGTCCAATCCATCTTCATTTTCTTCTGCATATTTTTTGGGCGATAGGTCCTTTAATAAACGCATGAAACCACTTATCAGTAACATAGTTTGAATTCATTTTATACAGTAATAAAATATATACACGAAAGCACTAGGATATGATCAAGTATTTACCAAATCTATTATTGACTTCTGATGGTACCGGTTCTAGTTGAAAGACAGAACGAGTTCAATACCAAGATTTGATTTTTTATCTTATCAGTTTATACTGAAGAACGAAGAATAATAACTTGTTTACTTTGACTAAAAGGTTCATGTAAACCAAATGTTTGATGTTTGTAAGTATATTCGAACTTTATTTTCTCTACCTAACATAATTACAAGGCATTTAACTGCATGGAATATAATGAAACATGAACCTAAATGTGAAGAAACTGTTTCGAAAGGGAAAATGTTCTATAACTCTTGAAATGAGTTCTGGAAACAAAAGATGAACAAATCTGATAATATGTCTGAGTTTTACTTTTTACTTCTAGGTTGACAATCGACTCAAAAGTCACGCAACAGACATGTGTAAAGTAATACTTTAAAATTCTGTCAGTGATATTGTCTAGATGTCTTTTTATTTGTAAGCTTAGCAAAGTTGTTATGTACCCATCCAATTATCCTTACTTCTTCAATCATATACATTTAAATAGGGAACATTCGTTATGCAAAACAAACTTAAAGCAAACAATGCATTCGAAAAAAACAGGGTTTGATGATTTCATAAATTTCAGTAGTATTCGTTAGCTGGATGCTCTACATACTAGACTAGATATACCGTTCAACAATGCAGAAAAAACACATACATATACATACATATAAGGTAGACTGAGACATCGATTTAGGTGTAACAACATAGAAATGAACAGTCTTTACAGGTGAAGCAGTGATACAAAAGGTAGAAGTGGATGTTGGTGCTTGTATCATCCACCGCTGAGTGGACCGAATTGATCGGTCTCCATTGGCATATATGCTCCTGCGCGTATAATACAAGCAACAATATCAAAACTATAACAGTCGCACAAGAAATGGCCATCGTAGCTCGGTGATCCACTGGATAACACTCTGGTGTTTGAAACGATCGATCTGAGGTGGAAACCTAGTGGGAGCAACAGTGCTCACCAGGAGGCTGGTACTTCCAACTGACGAGTTCCAAGGAGGACGAAACACACTTTTGAATTCCACTTCTAGCCGCTATTCTTCATAAATATATTGTGGAAGTGGATAATTGAAATTGAATGGTTTACGGATAGGTTACACGAATAACCATGAGTTTGGATGACAGTGCAGTCTAAAAGTCGTGTAGATTCCAGATGAGAAACTGCTGATAACAATTATAATAGTACTAATGTTGACACAGGGTGAGAACAGAATCAATCGAGAGTAGAATATATCGTTCTAAACAAGGTACCTAGTCGCGCACAAGCAGACATAATCAGAAAACTAGGTGCGTAGTGATAACAACGGTAATAGGAATAAGGTTAATTAGGTTAAAAAAATCAGGAAACGAAAACAAAAAAAATAGACATGGTAATTAAGAGCGAAGAGCAAATAAGGAAGCTTTTGTGTGATCAGACGACGCCGTTATTCCTACCATGGCAGATGTAAGCTGACTATCATTTCCTTATGAATGCTGAGGCTTGGTTTGACAGCTAGAACGACACAAGCTTCTGTAATTGCAATCAATTTCTTACTTTGCTGTCCACTAATAACCGTAAAAGACTTACAAGTATCGATATCATGCCCATAATCCATCAGGTACCTCGTTATCAAGCTCCTCGAGGTCTTTTTTGTCGGTATATTTTACCCATTTGGGTAGGTGCTCAAC